ACAGAAACCAACCAGAGCCTGCCCAAATAATAGCTTTTATCCATGGGGTCTTGGCTAGTTCCAGGCAGATTTAGGAAGCCATCTACAACACTTGTCCCATTGTACTATTCAGGACGTATCTTCCTCCTCCTTCCCATCCGAGGCAGATACAGGCCCTCATGAATTCAGGTGTGCATCATAAAAGTGAGACATGCATGCAGGACCATTTGGGGATCCTGGAAGTTATGGAGAATAGTAATAGATGTTGTGACAGAAGTAGAACAGATACAAACAGTTTAAAATACAAAGGCACGGATTTGGAAAGTCACCTGAGCTTACCTGAAACTGAGTGGACAAGCCAAGGGACACGTCTCCAATGTGGCCCTGGCCCTAAGTGCCAACACAGAAGATGGTGGGCAAGTACACACCAGCTTTGTCATTGTCCTTGAAATATCAAAAGTCACTTTATACTTAAAACTTTGATTAAAAAAATTCTAGTATTCATACAGGAAGGAATAGAAGAAACCCTAGGTCTCCTTGGCACAAGCCGAAATTTTCTTAATAAAGACCCAGAAACACAACAAATTAAAGACTGGACAAATGGGACTTCATTAAACTGCAGAGCTTCTACATGGCAAAGGACATAGCTAGCAAGATCAATAGAAAGCCCACGGATTGGGAGAAGATCTTCACTAGCTATACAACCGATAAGGGTCTCATATCTAAAATATACCTGGAACTCAAAAAATTAAATCCCCCAACAACAAATCCTCAAAGAAACAACCACCCAATAAACAAATAGGCTAAAGACTTAAAGAGAAACTTCTCTGAAGAGGAAAGAAGAATAGCCAATAGACACATGAAGAAATGCTCAACCTCTCTAGCCATAAAAGAAATGCAAATCAAAACAACATTGAGATACCACCTCACCCCAGTTAGAATGTCTATAATCAAGAACTCTAATAAGAACAGATGCTGGAGGGGATGTGGCCAGAAGGGAACCTTACTGCATTGTTGGTGGGAGTGTAAACTTGTTCAATCACCTTGGAAAACATTATGGAAGGTCCTCAACTCCATGGAGAATTTCCCAATGACCCAGCAATCCCACTTTTGGGCATGTACCCAAATGATCACAAACAAGGCCATACTAAAGCTACCTGCACAACTATGTTTATCACAGCATTATTCACGATAGCTAAGATATGGAACTAACGTAGATGCCCCTCAGTAGATTAATGGATCAAGAAAATGTGAGATACATGTGGAATTCTATGCCTCAATTAGAAAGAATGACATTGCCCCCATTTGTTAGGAAATGGAAAGACTTGGAAAAAATTATATTAAGTAAGCCAAGCCCAAAGGTCTCATGGTTTCCCTTATCTGCAATAACTAGTGTATGTCTAGGACAAGCAGAAAAGGTCAAAAGCGATGTACATATAACCATATAAGATGATGCGAAGCAAAATGAACCCCAAAAAGTGGGCATAAAAGGTTTAATCTTTCGTGCTGCTGTTTTTAACGTACTTACAATGTGCTAATTTTTTTGCTTCTTTTGTATGTACTCCCCCTCTGGTATCACCCCTGTTTTCACTGTATTTGATTCTGGTGCCCTGCAGCTTGTTACATACATTTTCTATTTGGGGGAGGGGAAGTGAAATGACAAAATGCTGAAATAAGGATACAGGATGACCCATTGTAACAATAAGATGTACAAGACATTATGTTGAAAATTAGCTTTACAACTTGGTGGGGGAGAGAGGAGGAGATGGGGAGGTAGGGAGGAAAGGGATGGTAGGGAAAGATCAAAGGATGGGGTAACAATGCTGGGTAGGAAATGCACTCATTACCTTTCTCATGTAACTGTAACCCCTCTGTACATTATCTTTACAATAAAAAATATATAAAATTCTAGCATTCAGAAGAGTGTAGCGTTTAGAGCAGTGAACAATCCAGTAGTTACTTAGCAGAAAGGCATCTCTGCTATTATCAGAAATATAGAGTTTGAAGGATTTTACATACTCTGAACATCACGTATGATTACTCAGACCTGGCTGTGGTAGTGGTGGTAGCTAGAGCTAATGGTACTTTGATGCTGTTAGAGAGCTGAGCCAATCTTGTAGCCATTCTGGACTTAGAGTCACCCCTTTGATTATAGCAGAGGCCCATAGAGTTGAGGGCTGACACTATTTCCAGTATCGGTGAGCTCCTACATATCCATGAACAAAAAAGATAGACTGAGTTTTGGTAAGAAGATAGGGAATGGTGAGTAGACATCATGTTTACCATATTTGGTGTTCTAGAAGCAATGGAAATTGGAGAAATAGAAGTCAGAAAAACCAGTGTACAAGTTTTCCTTCCCTTTTTGCTGGTCTCGTGACCTCAGATGTGAGCCTAACCCTGTGCCTTACTTGCTTCATCCATCAACTTGAGGTGAATAGATTGAGTGAAAGTGAAGGGCAGTGGGGCACCCTGAAGTAGCTCTGCAAATGAAAGTGTGCCTTGTCTCCCCTCTTGCCATGAGTTTTCTACTACAGCATGTGGCATTTCTTCTGTTGTCTGAGCCCTGGTTCTCTTCCAGGGCCTCGCAAGTGGGGCCAACAGTGTGTGTACCAGCTGCTCATTCTGAGAGCTGGCCCAGAGGAGCCTTCCCCGCCTTCCCCCTCCAACAGCCCCCCTCCCTCTCCCTTCCTGGAAGCAGTATTCCTCCCAAAGGACTCTCGGTGCCCTGAGCCTTGGAAACACCACGCGGACACCGACTCCCTTAGGGAGCCCATGACTCCTCCAGCTTCCAGGGCCTTGTGCCCTGTGGCCTAGCGTCAGTGTGCCACGTTGAGCTGCTCTTGCTTCTGCCCACAGCTCTTTCTGATGGGGTTCCCTGCCCATCTGGAACAGGGTGTGAAGCACTCGCCTGCACTCTTGTGCAATTAAATTAGCCTTGTTAACAGAGTAATGCTGAAAGACAAAGCAGGATTTGGATTGAGTCACATAAAAGAACTTCAAGTAATAAACTAGCATTGATTTAGCATGTACATTTGTCATTTCAAAGCATCCACCATTCCAAGAGGAAATACTTCCCAGATACATATGGCAAAAACCATAGAAAATGAGTCTTAATCTTATAGTATTCATTAACATATTCATTGTGAAAGCCTATAAGCCTATCAAATGTTGAGTGTCATCTTTAATCTAACTTAACAAATTGACATGTAATTCACCATAAACGTTGAAGTAGAGCGTTATGCAGTAGGAACTTTACACAGTAGGAGTCCTGTCCAGGACAGGCCTGCTCTGATCAGTGGGGTTGCATTAGTTAGGAAGGGCTACAAAGACTCCGCAGAACATGCAACTAAAATTACAATCTGGCCGGGCGCCGGTGGCTCACACCTGTCACCCTAGCTACTCAGGAGGCTGAGATCTGAGGATTGCAGTTCAAAGCCAGCCCAGGTAGGAAAGCCCATGAGACTCTTATCTCCAATAAACCACCAGAAAACCAGAAGTGGTGCTGTGGTTCAAGTGGTAGAGCGCTAGCCTTGAGCTGAAGAGCTGAGGAACAGCGCTCAGGCCCAGAGTTCAGGCCCCATGACCAACATAAATAAATAAATAAATAAAATTACAATCTGGACTGAGAGACTCAATTTCCCACCACGTTCTCTAGCGTCTTTTAATTTTGGTTCTAACCATTGTGTATCAAGGTAATCATGCCTGAGGCATCTTCTATCTTGGAGAATTAGCAAGAATCAAATATTGCATTCCCTCATGAGAAAGCCACTGAACCTGTCCCCCGACCCTTCCCAGCCCAGCCAGCGTCCCCAGAGTAGCAGGCTCCCTAGGCAATCCTCTGGGAAGTCATAGAGAGGGGCTGTTAATTCCATGCATCTATTGGTCAACAGCCATGTGCCCAGAACTGTTCCAGGCCCTGGGGAGCAGGGAGAGAGGCAAAGGGTGCCTTAGAGGCGGAAGGAGGGTGACACAGATAGCAGCACCATGGCAGGATACAGCTCCTACTGCATGAGGGGAACCCACAGGAAGGTGCTGAAAGCTCTTCCACTGGGGCTGGTCAGGGCTTGGGAGAGAGAGGAAGACATTTGGTTGATGTGACAGGAAAGAAGAATGGAGTTGGCAGAGCCATGAAAGTGAAAAGGTGCAGCCTTTTTAGTCCAAGTGTATAGACTACTTACCTGTCCTCATCTATTGGTGATCTTCTCCCTGGCTGCCTCCTCGGGGGTATGGAAGCTCTTTCGTGCATTTCTGTTGCTGGTCCCCTGAGATCAAGAGATAGCTATTTTCCTTCCTTTCATCGTTCTTCAAGAGTTGGCTTTTAATGTACTGACGAAGGTGCTTCTACCATTGCAAAGTCTGCACCGTATTTGCAGACTTCAGCAAGCCTTTTTCAATAATGACTTCCATGGTCTCTTACATAACTATGAAATAGCATGCCTGCATTTTTGTCTTCACCTTCGATCAGTACAACTATTCCTGCTCTATGCCCATTCTGCCTGTGCTCACCAGGGGCGGGAGACAGCTGTGTATCTCAAGTATGATTTGAGCCATGGAATGGGGCAGGAGTGGCTGAGTAAAGGGAGACCTCCAAAGGCTTGAGTCAAAGTCAGCCAGCAGAGTTGGCAGTGGGGAAGTTAATAAAGATGGCCATAAAATATAGACACAAATCACCAGGACACTATGAAAAGTTAAATGGTGCACATTGTTGAGCTGATTGAAGGAAAAATAAAAGTAGGGAAATTACCAAGAAACTTAGAATGGGTCAGATTAAGTTCATAGACTGAACCACACCACAAAAATACTTCCTTGATGTTGAAATTAGTATTGACAGCTAATGTTGAAATATGTTTGTGGTGTGTCTCCTGCACATTAAAATAAAGATGGTACCAAAATGAATGTGGTTGTTTTGTTTTCGGTTTGTTTGTTTTTTTGTCTTTGGAATCTTAGGGTGTGTAAGGCCTTATAAATGTCACAATGATGGATCAGCAGTGTTTGATTTTTTCTTCACTTTCTCACTGCAGGAAATACCAGAAATAGCCCACCGCCCTATGGTTTTCGGCTCTCACCCGAAGAAGAAATGAGGAGACAGCGGCTTCACAGATTTGACGGCCAGTGAAGTGATACAGCATCTTTGGAAGATATGGTCCAGTTGTCCATTTTCCTTCCATTTGCTTGAGCCTCCTTCCAGCCCCAACTTCATTTTAAACAAAAGCAGAGTATACCATCATCATCCCTGATTGCTTCTGTATGCCATGGACTCTCACCCTGTCATCACCCTACATCTAGATTCACGGTCAGATTGACTTGTCTGGAAACCAGGTTTGTGGCAGGCAGCTCACAGCTTTCTAGAAGTGATCTTATTCTCCATCCCAAACCAAAGGTTTCTTCCTTAACATTGGAGCCTTTCTCCACACTCCATCCTTTCCTCCAGACTCTGATACCTGCACCTTGTTTTGCAGTCGAAGACTCCACCTCCACAAAGAGATCATCCATTTTTTCTGCCTGGAGTGCTTGACGCTTACATTGGCCAGAGGTGCAGTGCAGTGGTATTCCCTGGTCTTCTTGGCATGTTGCTGTGGTGACCATCAGGATAAAGATATGCTCTCTTCCCAGTATGCTGTGGAGAAAACACCTACTTCCACCACTAGATGTCAAGGGGTACCAACAATTTGGATTTATAGCTGCCCACCCTCCCCAGGACAGCGTGTGTAGGCCAGGGAGATGGGACTTGTCTTTAAACAGCAAAGCAACAACAAGTGCCACATTCAGAACAGGGCAAAAGCATTCAAAGGATTGGTTCCTAGAAGTCCTTTTTGTAGGAAGTATTGTTTTTCCTCATAAAAGTGCCTCTGAATTGGCCCTGAAACAACTTGTCCTGGACAAGTGTCCAAAGCATACCCTAGGGCCCTGCGATATTAAAATACACCGATTGTCAGGTCATTTAAAGCATTCTGTGGTGCTTGTGTTTCATGTGTAAAAGGACAAAGCCAAAATGTATTTAGTCATGGAGTTGCTTATTTTTAGAGAGAACTAGAAGCAGCAAAAGATGCTTCTATTTTAACTCATCTATCATCCATATATAGTTTTCTGTTTATGAAAGTTATAGAAATGCCATCTACATGCATAGTCTGGAAGGAAGTTTAGCAACTAGAACAGAGATTATCTCTGGAGATAAAATACTTTGCTTTCTCTTTTTCACAATTTTATACTGCCTTTAAAAAATATGTGTTTTGTATATATTGCTTTGTAGTCAGGAAAACTGATTCATACAATAAATCAAGGGAAAACACAGTAAAATAGACTTAAAAATAATATGTGGCCATTGAGAAACTTCAAAACTGTAAAAACAAACAAATACATAAACAATTATAAAATCATGTGCATTCATACCACTTGGAAGAATACACAGGATTAACATTTTGAACGTATTCCATCACAATGACTTCTTGTATACATTTGACAGACTTGGAGCATACTGGTTGTGCAGTGTTGTGTCCAGCTCAGGGTCTGAATTTGTCTGGAAGTGGCCTTGACCCTTCCATATAAATGAGCTAGGAAACCTTGAGATCTGGGAGAATTATAACTAGCTACTTGCACAATGACACCTGAGATGCTTGATTTTATTTATAATTGATGTAAAACTAGAGCTAGTAGATAATGAGAATTGTACCTGAGTCCAGTAGCTTTAGACATATTTTAAATGTTCAAGCTAAATCATTCCTGCCTCTCAAACTATAAATTTGACTTCTATTTTCCTATTCTTACATGCCATCTTTTGATAACATGGAAATTGTCCTGTAGCACTCATATCTTGCCCTTGTTATTGTTATGGTTATTTGTACATACCTATACCAAGGTGTGCCTTCTATGTGGGGGTGTGGGTTATAAATCACCCTGATTTGTATATCTCCCATAGTCTCCACATTTTCCATATTCACCGTCCAAAGGCTTGTGGTAGGAGCTCATTAAATGTTAATTTCTCACCCAAGTGTTTTCTATTGTATTAAATGTTCAATCATATGTATATATGGAAGTATTTTCCTGTTTTAATATAGCAGTACCTCCTTCATTTGACCTGTCACATATGAAAACACTGGAATTACATTTTGGATGCTGTAGCTATAACATGTAGCTATTTATGGAGTGGAATATTACAGAACATTTAGAAATGTGGGAGAGGTCATTTTGATTATAAACCAATTATTTTTTCACAGCAATAAAGATGTTCTGGAAATTTTATTCTAATTAGTTAATGGGCTTGTCTATAACCACTTTATTCTATTCAGCACCTTTTTTTGTACAATAAGGAATCTCCAAATTCATGTGAACAAACTGGAATTGGGTTGAGAAAGATGAACAAAAGCAAGTGCATTAGACTAATGATCTCTAATAGGAACTAAACATTTAGAGCTGATTTTTTAATTTGGTGTCTTTGTGTAGCAGTAATTTCCTGATACCCCTTTGTGTATGTAGTTCCCATGGTTTGATGTGGTCAGTCAGATGACCTCTTAATTCAAAATCTGTTCTTGCTTCTTGGTTCTCAAGAGGAAGGAGTATTTAAAATTGCTTCCTGTTAAATGACCTTTGAATGCATTACCTGTGATTCCACTGTAATGACCTCCTCTCCCTGTTTAAATGCCTTCTGGCAAAGCTCATATTAAGCTAAATTTCTAGCTTTAGTAGAAGTAGAGTCAGGCTACATATTTGACACATAGTCTGTCTACTGGGGAGTAGGTTAAAAGAATGAGGGATATGAGACATACCTCCCACAGTGGATATTAAAATGTGGACCAGTTCCTAGTCTTAATCCCTAGTGACAAGAGTCAATATTCATAAAGAAATGCATTCAGTTAGTCATATACAAATCTACATTTCTTCCTTTCCCTTCTCATGCATCATTACAGTCATTTCTTAATTTTAATAAAGTTTATTCAGCCCGTAGTAGTTATCTTAGCTCAGATTCTCAGCTTAACAAAACATTGAAGTCTCTCTGTCTCTGTCTCTGTCTGTCTGTCTGTCTGTCTGTTTCTCTCTCTCTCTCTCTCTCTCTGAGTTATAAGGCCTAAACTCAGGGCCTGGACACTATCACTGAGCTTTTTTGCTGAAATCTAGCACTCTACCACTTGAGCCAAAGTTCCACTTATGTGGGGTTTGGGTTTTTTGTTGTTGTTGTTGCTGCTGCTGGTGTGTGTGTGTGTGTGTGTGTGTGTGGTTTTTTTGTTGTTGTTGCTGCTGGTGTGTGTGTGTGTGTGTGTGTGTGTGTTTGTGCACGCTTAATTAGAAATCTGAGTCTCATGGACTTTCCTGCCTGGGCTGGCTTCAAACATCAATCCTCAGATCTCAGCCTCCTGAGTAGCTAGAATTATAGGTATAAGCCAGCAATGCTCAGATGATAATTTAAGTTCCTTAAATAGTGCAGCTCTCTGGGGTGGAGAGGAAGCAAGTATGGTAGGGTTAATACAGTTCGTTCTTTTTTTTTTTTTCTTTTGCCATTCATGGGGCCTGAACTCTGGGCCTGGGCACTTTCCCCTCAGCTCTTCAGCTCAAGGCTAGTGCTCTACTACTTGAGCCACAGTGCCACATCCAGCTTTTTTTGCTTATGTGGTGCTGAGGAATCGAACCCAGGGCGAGGCATGCAAGACAAGCACTCTACCACCACTGAGCCACCTTCCTAGCCCAATAGTAGGTTCTTAAAGAATATCAGTTGTTTCTTATACCCCTGTCAAAAGAGGTTGAGGCATATACTATTGAAGTTTCCTTTGATTTAAAAAAGGCTTAAATCCATGCGAGAGTTACTGAGTAACTTTGCTCTATCTAGCCAATCCCAGCAGCATAGGATGTTGTGGATAATTATGAAGGGCCCTCCAGAAAGGTTGGAGTGTTTCAGATTTGGTGGTCTACTGTTGGTCACCTAGAGAGACTCTCAGAGGTGGGACCTAGATGAAGGAGGTAGGCAAACACAGATGAGCCCTTAGTGAGCTATAGCTCATCTGGACATCTCTCCTCCCTCCCTTCCTTCCTCCCTTCCTTGCCCCACCCCACTCCCGCCACTCCTCTTTCTCTCCCTTCCTAAGTCTCTTTTCCTGCTTTCTGGCCCTACTTCTCATCCATCCCAAGTCCAAAGCAATGGACTTAGCCTGAAACCATGGGCCAAACCTAAATCTTAATTCCTGTTAAATGGTTTCTCTCGAGTATTTGTCACAGTGGCAAAAAGCTAATGCACAGGAGATGTAAGTAACAATATCACACAGCTTCTATCTCATAGACTTTGCATACCTTAAATCCTCCAAATAACCCTGTGCCGTGGGTCATGTCATTCCTGCTCAACAAATAACTGCAGCCAGGGTGTAAGAGCCCCACGCGCTCTGTCCAAGAAGCCCAGCCATGGTGGATGCAGCCTTCTGTCCTGAGGGCTGGTTTTAGTTCTCTTCTCATCCCAATAGTTGCTTTGCAGAGCCTCTGAATCCACCCTTTCCAGCCTGAGCTGTTCTCTTCTGCAGTTCACACTTCTACCATGTGATATTCCTTATGTTCTCCCAAGGATGGGCCACACATTTTAAAAATAAAAATAAAAACAAGCAGCAAATCCAGCTGACTTGAAAGAAAAGAAATAAATTCACCAAATAAAACGCAGTTGGTTTTGAACTCATCACAACTTTATAGACAATGAACCATATTATAAGTGGTGATACAGGGAAGATTTAAATGTCAATGAAAGACCAGTCCTCTTATAAAAGGTACATGTTCAAAAGCCCTAACTTTACAACCATAGGTTAGGAAAAGAGGTGCAATTTATTGGACGCATTTCACATTTTCCCCATGAATCACTAAATATTTAAGCACCATAAAATTCAAGCATTTCACATGAATGTGTCAGGCATCCTAAGGGGTTTAAAATGCATTATGCAGAGTTTCCAACAGATAATAACAGTGACAATTGCAGAGTGCTGATTTTTAATGTCAATTGTTTGTTCTCTGCAGAACTTCCTCATATTGGCCCTGCAGGAAATCGTGATTTTTTTTTTTTTGTGGTACAATAACTTTGAGAATTGAAATAAAACAGCATTCTCAATGACATTAAGAATTGGCCAGGTATAAAGAATACTAACTAGTAATTTATATGCCCATTGGGAATCCTTTTATTCTACTATGCAAAAAATAATAATTCCAAGAATTATTTTTATAGTCAGTAGTTTATTTCAAATGGAAGATATGACCACAATCAATGCAGGATGACCGCTGTATGCTAGAAAGAGAATCTAACTTTAATTTTCAACACGAGTAGGTGTTATATTCCACCTTCTGAATGAGGGAAATGAGGTTCAGGGTGTTGGTGGAAGTTTCCAGCAGCACACAGCTGGAAAGAAACAAAGCTGGATTCAAATCTGAGTTCAAGCAACTCGGAAGTCCTCATCTTTCTTTCATGTTTGCAGCCATACTGAGGAAAAGTAACAATTACCCAAATGATTCCAGTGAAGCGATAGAAACGCCAACCCAATTTTCCTTATAGTCTGTATAGAGCTCAAAATAAAATAAAAATCTCTGATAAAATCTGATTTTTATACACCATTCCACTGACTCTTACAAAGCACCAGCAACATACATACAAATTTTACAGAGGCACTTTTGAATGAATCAGCTCTTAAATCACAAGGGAACACAGATTACAGTATGAGTTAACACATCTCCTTTCAGTAAGGCACGTCTTCTCAGCCAAATCTCACATCTCATCATTTCTGAAATGTTCTTTTACAGAAAAGTAAGGGGATTTTTGGAGCAGGGAAGCAAAGATCCAGAGTCATGAATCAGTTTCCTCTCACTACGTGTTATAGAAGATTGTGGGCTTCAATGTTCCAATAGCTCATCGATAACTTGATTATAGGTTGACTATTCTAGCATTCTGCATCCAGAAATGAATTACACTTGTCACCATTTTACCCATGAGCACTGAGTGCCTAATGAGGCTTATGGAATCGCCACTGAATAAAAGCACTAAGTGTTAAAATGTGCGGGCCTGTGTTAATAGCAGGCATACAGAGGCTAGTGTAGTCTGCCTCTCTCCTTGGGGTTCATGTGGGAGACAAGGCACCAATATGGCATGGTCCCTGGGGCTTTGATATTAGACTGGTGGGGGAGGCAGGTAACCCTCAGCACTCATCAATGTATAAAAGTAGGTAGGAGTCTACCAAGTCAAGGCTCCTGAAGATGGAGGTCTGGAGGTGCCATGAATGTTTGCAGAATGGCTGGCAGTTTGTGACAAAGAGATATTCTCATAGACAGTTCATGCTGGACCTTTCACCGGGTGAAGTCATTTGGATTTTACCAGCAGGGCAGTCCGAGATGGATTTTTAAGCCAAAAGATAACAAAATCCAGTTCAGATAGGGCAAATCAGGAGATGTCTGTAAGAGAGGCTGTCAGAGGACAGGTGGAAAAGCTGAGGGAGGTGAAGGAGGCTGGAGGAGGTCCATACCATGAGAACTGTGGGCTTGGGCTTCAGTCTGGGGAGTTGGAAGGGGCTGGCCACACGCAGCACGAATGCCTGCCTGTCTGGGTGGGCTTCACTCACTGAGGCTGATGAAGATGCCCGGTTCTCCGGGGATGAGACTGACAGCTGTCCAGGGGAGGTGATTTTTGGAGCATTCCAACAAGTCATGGCGTAGGCACTGTGGGAGGGGGCTGGAGTGAACTGTCCTTTAGCCTGTTCTTTTTTAACTTCATTATAAAGCTTGTTAAGATAGCAGCAGCAGCAGCAGCAATAATTTGCCTTTACTGGGGTTGAACTCAAGGCCTTGAGCTTGCTGGACTTGCTTCCATGGCCAGCACTGTACTACCTAGACCCACTACTAGCCTAGCTTTTTGTGTATTATTTTAGAGAGGAAGTCCGGTGGACATTTCTGCCTTGGCTGACTTTAAATCTTGACACCCCAGATCTCAGCATCCCGAGTAGCTAGGTTTACAGATGTGAGCCACCAGCACCCTATTTGTTAAAATAATATTCTAACACCAAAGGTAATTTGGCAAGCAAGACATATTTCTGATATTCCCATTCATTGCCTCTCTTTTCTTCCCTGAAAACATTCTCAGTCTAAGTTCACAATCAACTTCCAAAAACTTGTGATAGATCTGGAGAGAGAAGGGTAACGTCAAATAAGGTAGAAACTAGCTTGAATTTTGGGTACTCTAAGGTATTTAACATATATAGCATGGTCTTAAAGAAAGTCAAATGGGTCAAGTGAACTAGGAGATATTCTGCTACATTAAGAAAACATTTCATGTTAAAATAGACATGCTTCCTTTTTTTTTTTTAACCAGAAACTTCTCTTAAAATTGTCACCCTATGGTTAGCGTATGGCACAAATCATTGGAAAAGGATTCTGCATAGAAGAGCTCACTAGTAAAGTATGGCAAGGAAAACATATCTTGTAAACAAAATTTTAATTTTTTTTCTCTGAATTCTTTTTCAGTGCCCTAAAGCTAGCCACTAAAATGCTGCTATTCTCCAGAGAAATTTCTTAACTTTTTTCTAAAATGATACTGTGTTTAACTAAGGAAGGTAAGTTCCTCCCACCAAAAAAAAAAAAACAAAATCTGTTCTAGGAAAATTTTGATTTGTAGGATTAGAACACTGAATTCCTGGAAAAACAGAAAACAGGTCTTTTATTATTCAGAAAACATCCTCATTTTAAATTGCCATCGCTTCCAAACTTACATAGAAACTACAAATGCCAAATGTCAAACCACTGAGTCAGTGCTATACTAATATGAAGTAAATAAATGTTTTTAAAATTGGCCAGATAGGGTGTTGCTGTAAAGACGAATCCCAGGAACATCAAATGCAAATTGTGTATCATCTTTGTTTCTTTGATAGACCCTGCCATGCCTTTCTGGTGGGCTGACCCCGACTTAAATGAATCTTCTAACCTAAGTTTAATTAAGTCGGCCCTCCATTTTCTCCCAAGGGCCTAATGAAAGCCCTGCCATGTCTCCTGGGAGCAGCCATTATGCATGTTGAGGCAAAGTGTCCATTGTGAGCCCCACAGGTTTTCCTGGGGAGGGAAGTGACATGCTCTTACCCTGCAGAAGCCCCATGCGGCTCCAGTCCCATTAGCACTGAGGACTTGCTGGACCCCGACTGGGGGGAAAGCCAGTCTGTTTGGAAGTTCCCTGCAATAGGGAGTCAATTTTTGTGAATCACCACTTTAATATTCATTAATAGCTTTTAGACTCCCTGATCCCTTATTGAATATCTTTTTTCCATAATTGCTACTTTTCAAAAGGATTGCCAAAGTAGGCATTTCTAGTCTCTGAAAAAAAATGCACAAGAGAACCTAATGTTTTATATTCATGTGTGAAGTGTTTATACTAATGTCAGAGCTCTGGAAGAAGGCGGCTTGCGGCCTCTCCTGGCGTAATGATTCATTTCGCTTTGAAATGAATTCTTACCACTGGCTGTATGGGCTGCTTCTATAGTCTCCTTCTCTTTTAATATCTTTGGGTCATGTTTATAATTATTTAAAGTGCATGCAGAAAAAAGAACCAGATTAATGAGGAAATGACTTTGGAATGTTGAAAAGCTCTAGTACCTCGTTTTCATTTGTTGCCCCATGTAATTTTTCCTGTAAAATCTCTCCAGAAGGCCCATGCTATTACAGAGTAATTGACTTCAATCGTGTGAGATGCAATTAACCAATGCCATTTATAATCCGGTCATTATCATCTCCTTGTCTTCCTGAGAATTAGCGTATTACCCTAGAAAGCCTATTTTTCCATTTAATAATATGTGGGGTTCATCTAGATTGCTGAGGTCAAACAAATTCCACGTGCGTCGTGTACAGCATTTGTTGAGTCTGTCAGGCACAGAGCGGGGAGCTGGAGGGCTCTGAGAAGAGCCCTATAGAGATCAGGGTTTGGAAAGAGCACCATGGAATCTCATAGCGTAGCCCAGAAGTCTTCACTCCCTGGGAAGTTTCTCTTGGTAGATGCATGTGAATTTTGCCTTCTCTAGCTATACTTCACACACACTTGGCACCTGCTGATTTTCTGGCGCTGGGCCTGGCCTTCTTTTAAGGTGTCTGGTGATGGGGCCAAAGTAAACTGTGTCTCTGGGTTCACTGTTGTCAGCCAGAAACTATATTCATTTGCAAAGAAGTGGCAAGTCCCTTGGCGGCCTTGGCATTCAAGGAATGGCGCGGCTCTGAAATCCTCCAGGCAGCTGCCAGGTGACGTGAGGGCCTGGCCACCTCCTTGGTCCCCAGCACCTGTGTGCTATCAGACAAGAAGAAGAGAATTAGGTTTGTAACCGCCTTCACAATCTTGATTTCCCTGGGGGTGGGCCTTAAGTACGCACAGAATTCCTATCCGATCCAGACAGGGGAAGAAAAGGAAGGTGACAGGGTTCCAGGGCAGCGAGCTCACCATCAGAAATGAGTACCCGATCCAGAGGCTCCTCCAGGCCCGCGGGCACGGCGGGATGGACTGATCCTGGCTGTGCACTGCGACGGCCTGGGCCGGGGCCTCGCACACCGCACAGCGGCTGATGTAAGGGCGAATCTCTTCCTCGGAGACTGGCATCATGGGGAGGGGCGCGGCGCTGGCCAGCCAGTATGACCTGTCATTTCGCCGCGCATAGTGGCACACTTGGTGGATGTTACAGTAGGCAAAGGGCAGCGTGCTAAACATGGGAAGGCATGACCCTGCCAGACCTTGGAGGAAGGAAGAGACATTTGGTGTGCCAGTGACCCTTTCCCCCCCAAGCATTCACAGACCACCTGTTCTGACCCATGACCCAGGGTGGGCAGGCCAAAGCCCACTTCACGGTGGGAAAACCCCTTTAGCCTTGTAAGCCAGTCCTTAACCACTCATCCCTCCCTAAGAGGACCGCCAGCAGGCCAAGACGCTAGAGGTAAGCAATGACATATTCATCTTCTTGAATCTCATTGACCTACAGGGACATGGATGAGCAAACCACTGATGAAATTCCAGGCTGACAAATGCTGTGAATGAGAAGTATGGAGTGGCTGGATCTTTAAGCTGTGAGTGGAAATGTGAAGAGGACCGTGCCCGCCTCCCCACACCCCCTCCCACACACCCAGGCTGGAGGTGGTGGTACTCTTCAGAGGAGGAGAAACCCCAAGGTTTCATGTGGCAGTGGAGAGAGCCTGATGCACAGAGCATGGTGTTCTGGGAAGTCACAGCTCGCTGAGGGGAATAATGGAATGGAGATGTGCATGTTCGTGTGTCTGCTTGCTTTAGTGGTGTCCAGAGCACATTTTGTCAATCTCGTGAAGTTCTTCAGAGTTTTAAAATGTGCCATCTTACTAGCACAGGGCAGAAAGGGCAAGACTGAGAATGCAGAGGCCAGACAGGAAAGAACTTGAGAACAGAAGGAAGAGGAGAGCAGAGGAGAGCTACAAACACATTCAAGATATAGCACAATTCCCTCTTCTTTTTGCCTGTGCTCCAAGAAACTTAAGTCAGTGGTGGGCGATCAGAACATGGATGTACCTAATAGAGATGGGAAGATGGGTAGGAAAGCCAACTCTAGACCTGCACCCTGTGAGCACATGACATGAAGCCAGTGACAGAAGTCATCTCACCACCAACCATCTCTGTTGGTGCATCCTTTGCCACCCACCACCTTGACCCTTCAGTCCAGGAAAGACAGTAATTGTCAGGACTTGGGTATGTAGACTATTGTCTTGGCATTGCTTCCTGCAGCTCTTTAATCAGCTTCCAGAAATTGTCAAGCAGTGTGGAGGATGACCCTCTATGTCTTGCTATTTGAAAACAGATTGGAGTAGGACAGGGCTCTGATGTTCCAAGTGCCATAATGTACACACAGCAGGTGCTTAAATCAAGGTGTATATCAATGCAGGAGCCACAAGGGCCCAACTAAATAATCTACATATGAGAATGAAAACCTTAGTTCATAAGAGTTACATTAACTTTCAATGAAAATATCTTTTTTTAATTTTGTTTGGTCGGTCATGGGGCTTGAACTCTGGGCTTGGGCGCTCTTCAGCTCAAGGCAAGCGCTCTACCACTCAAGCCACAGCACCACTTCTGGTTTTCTAGTGGTTTATTGGAGTAAGAGTCTCACAGAGTTTCCTGCCTGGGCTGGCTTTGAACCTTGATCCTCAGATCTCAGCCTCCTGAGTAGCTAGGATTACAGGCATGAGCCACCGGTGCCCAGATGAAAGTATCTTTAAAAAAAAAAAAAAGAGCAATAAATAACCGAAAAGAAACTAGAGCCAGAATGAATTTCTGTGACATCATGTAGGATCGCAGTTTTAATAGAAATAGTTGGGAGTTCACATGGCAGTTTAAAAAAAATAATAAGGGAAAAAGTAATGAAGGAACAGGTGGCATTGTCCAAAAAGAAATGTACTCATTATGTGACTTAGGTAACTGTAACCGCTCTCTACATCTCCCTATAATGACAATGGAAAAATTAAAGAAAAAATTAATGAAGAGAAGGAAAAGAATGAAAGTAAATATAAAAAATGCAGTAAGAATCTCATAAAGGATTAGTGATTAGGTTGGTGAATCTGTAAGCTTAAAACCAAAGTTTTACTTTCTAAGAAACGGCATGGTTGATCACCTTGGAAAATCCATACCAAGGTGAAGAGTATGGATGATCGAGGGAACATTCACACCAAGGTCAGCTGTAGGTGATCCCATGGATTATCTCCACTAAGGGCAGCAGCATGGGTGATCATGTGACTGTCCAAGGTCAACAGCATGGATGATCAGGTAGAATATCTACCCAGAAGTCAACAGTACAGTGGTCATGGGTATTACTATATGCTATCTATATACAGGTGACTATCATGGACCATCATGTGACTATCTACACATAGTCACCAGCATGGGTGACTGGTGATCACGAGGAGTATCTATACCAGGGTCAACAATATGAGTGATCACATGGAATATCCATACCGAGGTCTTGATTGTGGGCTTTCTCCTGTCCTTCCATGTATAACAGACTATATCCGGTCCAGAGCCGGGGCATTCCCACAGGGCAGGCAGGTTCCTGGTCCGTCTGACTGTGGAGAACCAGGAGGAAGCCACTGAGGTAGCCAAGGCCAGTCCCTTTGGGCCCAGGATCACCAGTCAGACCAGGAGGGCCTAGAGAAATAAAGAATGAAAACACACCTTCAGGATTTCTGTTTCACAAGTACCGGTCCTGTGGCACTGTGCTAAGCACACAGGGAACAGAGGGGAACAGGGCACAGCCGTCAGGGCAGGCATGGTCCCTTCCGCAAGTGCAGTACACACAAAGACTCAGCCAGCCAGCACGGAGCGCCACTGCACACACATTCAGAATCTCTGAGTCCAACCAAGCTCTGTTTGAAAGTATCAAAAGCTAAAACAAACAAAAAATATATCTTCACTGAGCATTATAGACTATGTTCTTGTTATTATTCCCTAAATGACACAGTACACTACATAGCACTTACATTGCAATAAACGGTTACATACTCTAGACATGATTTAAAATATGTGGGAAGGTTGTGTGTGTGTGTGTGTGTGTGTGTGTATGTACATATGCATGTGGTGTAAAATAATATGATAATACGATTAATATAAAGGACTTGAGGATCCTGGGATGAGGGATCCTGGAGCCAGTACCCTGTAGATACTGAGGAAGGACCAAATTAGTTTCAAGCAGTTCCTAGGTGATGCTGGGGCTTCCTGAAAAGAGAACACAGGAAGAAATCCCTGTCCTCCCAGAGCACTTTCATTGGAGGGAGAGTAATGACCATACCCATATGGAAAGATAAACTGTAGAGGTTAGGACATGGTAACATCTAATGAAAAAGAACTAAAGCAGTGCATGAGCCACCCCTCCCAGACCTGGGGCCTCCACCTTCTCAGACGGGGCTGGGAACAGGCTGAAGTTGGTCTTCTTCCACCTGCCAGATGGCCCTCATGGGTCTGGCGCACTGAGGGGTCCACTGCAAAGGGCAAAGGGGAGGATGCACATGGCTGACTTTGAATCTCTTCTTTAGTGAGGGAGAGAGGGGAAGGGAAGGCCTTGCTCTACCATTCTTGGTGGTAGATGGAAACGGATAATCCTCTAAAATGTGAGCAAGTTCTGACTCATTTGACACTGCCAAGATGCTGATCTCCTGAGGAAGGCCAACAGCTATTTCCAATTGCCAGGAACAAAAGCTGATGGACTTTGAGAGATGAAAGATGTTTTGGTTTTGTTAATTGCTTGTTGTTCCTTCAAGACCAACAGGCTCTCCTACACACACTGCCAATCAGAGATGACAAAGTGACCAAGTGACAAAGAGATTACAAAGATGACCATGTGAAGGAGATCTGCTCATTTGACCTGTAATGATTTTATAACTGGACATTTCAGATTTGGAAATCAAAAATTGATGTAGGGAACACTAGATCTGCATGTCTACAGGAGCTAATTTGCTGAAGCTGAGCTTGGTCTTTCAGAAGCAAGCTCTTCTGCCGCAGCCAGCCCTCCTCTCTTGTTTCTACTCATGGACATTATCACCTTGACAGGTACTCTCCCAAGATGTGTCTTCAAGTGTTTGGGTCCACCAGGCCTAAGTTACATTTCAAAGCTCTATCCTGACGTCATCTCTTTCCCCTCACACCTCACCTGCTCCCAAATGCTTTCTCTTCAAAGCCCTGTATTTTATATACGATCCAGCAACTAGACGGGCTCTGATGATGGTTTGGCATCCATTAGAATGTGGGAGATGCATCTCCTCAACGCTTTGGTCTCCCTAATATCTGCTGAGCGGGCATCTGTGACAAACAGATGTATTTCATAACACCCACTGCACAGCTGCTTGCTAGGCTTGGTGTCTAGCTCCCCAGTCTTTGGTATCAGGGAAAGGAAGACAAAAAGAAATGTGTCACCTGGTTTTCCAGCACAGCCAGTCTCTCCGGCTTCACCTTTGTGTCCAGGAGGTCCAGGCGGCCCAGGGACACCATCCTGGCCCCTCCTTCCATCCAGCCCAGGCTTTCCTTTGCATCCTACAAGAAAGAACATGATGGTGGTTGTGAGACCTGCCAGAAGTTACCACTGTGGGCCCTGTGGACCCAAGCTGGGCTTCCTTCCTCCCTGATTCTGTTATACCAACCGATTGAAGTCTTCCTGATTACATGAAGTTGAGGTTAACTGTCTCTACTTTACAGTGGGCAGAGACTCAGGAAACTGGACTTTAATCAAGTCAATGAGCCAGTGAAGGGCTGAGCCAGATTGGAAGTGGTACACAGGGAATTATTGAGAGAGTAAAGGTTTTTCCTGTTTCCTTTATATTATTGTATTTGGGCTTTTGGGGGGGGGAAAGCATTAAATATGTATTATGTGTATAACTAAATATCCTTTATAATGAAGTCTGAATTGGGGGAACGAATGAAATTTCATAGGATTCAGTTGGAAGTCGAGTTAAATTAGGAGACAGAACAGTAATTCTGTGATCTGAGCTGCATCTTCAGACCTTTAGCTGGTCTTCTGTGTTTTGAGATACAGTCTTACCACTTGGCCTAGGCTGACCTCGAAATCATGATCCTCCTACTTCTGCCCTCTAAACAGCTTGCATTACAGGTTTGAGCTACCATGCGCAGCTAGTAATTTTTCATAATAGCTTTTCATCTAGTGTTTGCAATATGTGGGTACCATGCCAATCTCTTTAGCAAGATGATCCCACTCAGTCTTCAAAGCAGCTCAGGAGCAGGTCTGCTCCCACACCAGCAGGAAGACAGGCTCAGAAAGATCACAGAGCCCAACAGATGTGAGGAGCAAATATGGCCCAGATGACGAGTTCTGAGGTGGAACCATCAGCTCCTGTTCCACTTCTTCACAGGCTGCAGAGCCCAGGTCCATCCTTAGAGAGCATAACCTGGGGGCCAGGGCAGCGGGCACAGTCATCCTAGATGGGCCCTTAGGTACTGGGTTGCATTTTTTTGTCAACACATCAATTAGTCACAATCTCCATCTGGTCAGGGTAGTAGACATGGTCATGGTCCTTAGGGACTTCATGGCCGTTAGTCCTGGTTAGCTGACTTTACTAGCTCTCCCTAGATCTCCAGCTCTCTCTCCCCTCCACCCCATCTCTCTCATTGTCTGTGGCTCTCTCTTCCTTTTCTATAAATTGGCTTCCTAGGGTCTGATTTATGCCCTCCTCCTACATTCTCATTAAAGGCTATTAAATCTCCTATGTTTTAGGGTCACTATATTGGGGAACAGATCCCTTACAGATGTGACTCTAGTAAAATGAGCCTGGTAGAGTAGAAGGTAATGGAGCCTGGTTTTATAACATGAGGAAGTGACACACAAGGAAATGTTAGGGACACGCCTGTGACAGAGAGACGCCTCAGGAGCCATCCACCTTGCCAGCACTTCGCTCTTGAACTTCTACTTCTAGATCTGAGGAGGGAAGAGGTAGAGGACACTTCCTGTTGCGTGCCCCCCACCCAATCTGTGGAATTTTGTTCCCATAACCAAAGTAGCCTAAAACCAACCATTAAGCCAAAGAGGGGCTTGCTCCCGCAGCATTTTCTAGAGTCTCCTGCTCCCACGCTCGTGGAGTGAAGATAGCAAAGCTGAGGAAGCCAGTGAACCCAGGAGTTCTCTTGTTCTATTGGAGGTATTTACTTGCAGCTGTAGCTGCTCCCCGGGGTCTCAACCAATACAGGAAGTATGATAGTGTGATTAAACGACACTGGGGCCAGGATAATGATGAGGGAAGGTTGAACCAAGTCGTATCTTGACAAGATGGTGGAAATCAAGAATTTCCTGGGAGGCTTCCTTTTCTGTACTGCTTCAAAAAGTCCTTGCTTGTGCCAGGCCCAGACTGTGCATTTACACTTGATCCATGTGCTGACTCGCCCAGAGCCCCTTGGAATAAGAACTTTCCCTCCAGACCACTCAAGACACATCTGCCCCCAGACCTTTCCAGTATGTTTTCACGTGACTGTTGCTATGGGTTCAATGGATCCCAGTTTGAGAAACACTGCCCTAGACTAAAGTTAAATTGTAAAGCTCTGTCTGGTAGCAAGCTTGATGGTATACTTTGAGAGTTCTGTATTTCTGCAATTTGTTTTCTATTTCTGTTTCTTATTTCTGCCTAGTTTTGGTGATACACTTTGAAAATTCTATATTTCTGTTGTCTTTTTAAATTCATTTCTATTTTCTTCTTTCTGCCTATTTTTTTCTTTCACCATAATTTATTTTTCTTATTGTGAAAATACTGTACAAAGGGGTTACAATTACATGGGCAAGATAATGAGTACATTTCTTATCAAGTATTGTAGCCTCCTCCTTTGTTTCCCCTTCCCATCCCTTCCCATCCTCCCCCTGCCCTCCACCCAAACCTCCTCCTGCCCCCACCCCCTGCACCAAAGTTGTAAAGTTCATTTTTCGACATAATGACCTATACATCTCATTGTTGCAATGGGTTCACCTGTATCCCTATTTAAACGATTTGTTTTTCCCCTTCCCCTCCACAAATTATACCGACATCAAATACAGTGAAAGCAGGGGTTATACCGTGGGGGAGGGTTTCTGCCTATTTTTGAGAGTGGTAGTGGTCCTGAGGCATGAACTCAGGGTCTGAGCACTGTCCCTGAGCTGTTTTGCTCAAGGTTTGCACTCTACCACTTGATCCATAATTCCACATCTGGTTCTTTGGTAGTTCATTGGACATAAGAGTCTCATGGACTTTTCTGAGTGGGCTGGCTTTGAACCATGATCCTCAGATCTCAGACTTCTGAGTAGCTAGAATTACAGGCACGAGCTACTGGTGCCCAGCTCTGCCTATTCTTGAAACCAGATCTTTGATGCACGGAACTTATTATCTTAACAATACCATTAATACTAATAGCAAACACACTTTTGTTCTTTCAGGCTATTCTAAGAGCTTATTAGAAGAGTCAACTCATAATTTTCACAAGCAGCCTTGTTTTTATACAGCTGAGGAAAGTGAATCTCAGAGAGGGTGTGTGCGTGTGTGATCTAGTTCCCAAGCCCCTCTTCCTAGCATTACACTTCTCCATTAGAATCAAGGATGATTTATGGGCAAAATATTCATTATCCAGGAAGATACCAGTTGTTCCTCATGGGGAAAAAGTAGAAGTACCTTACTTAAACCAGAGTGAGCAGCAACATCACCAGGAAGCCTGGTGCAAGCGAGGCACCTCGGAGCTTTCTCCACACCTAACAAGCCAGAAAGTCCAGGTTGCCACTCAGCAGTCCGTGTTATCTACCATAAGCTTTCCAGAAGACCCAGATGTTCCATAAATCTTGAGATCCCAGGCTTTCCACATCCCCCTTCCACCTCCGAGTTAAGATCAGCTGTTACAAATTCTCACATTACCCACATATGGGTGCTGGCTGGTTTGTCCCTTCACTTCTAGATAGTCTGTTGTTCCAAGAGAGAAGCCTGGCTGGATTAATTTCTTTCTTCCAGAGTGCTGGCACCAAAGCAATCAATAAATAATTCATGAAAGCAGTGGTTAAATAAATCACGGTACAATCGAATGCTGCAACATTCTGTAGCCACTACAGATAATGTTGTAGGAAAACATGTAATGACATAGAAGTAATGGCATGTTCAGAAGAGCGTGCTGAGTGTGATCTCTTTTTAAAAACATGTGCAGATCTAAGAGTAGGCTGATACACAGCCAGCTGGGCCTTCAAACACAATAGGCGTAATTGCTTTTTCTCTTCTTTACAAGATAGTTACTCCCTATACAAATTCTACCATTACCCATCCCCACCACACATCTCCCTACACAAACAGTTCTCAGTGCAAAGGACTTCTGTTCATCATAGGACATTGTCCAGAGATATTTTATGGCTGTTTGTCAATGGGAGATCGGGTCCCAATACTGGCATCTGGTGGGGAAAGGCCACTCAGTACCTCCAATGCAGAATGTCCCTCCAGGTAGCAGATGATCTGGCCCCAAATGTGAAGAGAATTGGGCTGAGAGGACCCGTGCTACAATGGGGGACAGCTCAGAGCTGCTATGGTTGTGGGGAGGTTGCCAGTCACTGTGGGTGAGTCCGCCATCCACAGGTGAGGCCAGGCTCACAAATCATGTATCACCTACGCTGCAGTAGCAGTGCTGAGCCTCCAGAGTCTGATACACACCCACTGTCTGGATCTACACCGAAAATGGATTTGAGGCCCCTGATCTAAGAAGTTGTACAAATCAAACAAGCAAGGATGTGTTCTGGTGACACAAATGTGACACTAAAGTTTATATGGAGAAGACACAGAAACAGAGAGAGAAGGTTACTAGCCTCGAAGCTTCCACTGGAATAGAAGAAACATCCAGGGAGTAACCATGAACTTGGAACATCAGCATCATAGGGTACATGGGTGGACTGAACAGCACCCACAAAGGCCTAGACGGGCAAGGGACACATGGTGCCTTTAGAGACTAACACAGTGGAGGCTGACTGGGAGTGGGGGAGGGACATAGGGCTTGAGTCACATACAAGGGCCAGGAATTGTGAACAGGCAGCATGTTGAGAGCCTGGAATGTTGAGGGCAGGGGATGAGATACATTTCTCCCTTCCCCCTCTTCTCTGACCAGCCTTGCCTCCTAAAACCAGCTCCAACATAAGGCTCTTGCTCTTTGGAAGATCTGTTCTAACATGGCTAGTCTGGGGCTGTTACTTCTGTCCCCAGATGGTCTTTGTCCTCCACCCTGGGGCCAGTTGACTGCATTCATGTCATGGTGGTTAATGAGCTATCACTCCACCTTTCATTGTTAATTTTATCTAAGGGTGATGAACAGTGGGGTTACAGTTAAATAATTGAGGTAATAAGTACATTTCTTGTTGGACATTGTTACCCCCTCCCTCATTTTCTCTCCCTTTCCCTCTCCCCTGACTCCCCTCCCCGCAAGCTGTAAAGTTCATTTCCAACATAGTCTTGTATTGCTGCTGCATTGGTTGACCCTTTGTCCTTTGTCTCCCTTGTTATTCTCCTTTCCTTCCCCAAATCAGATAAACATATATACAA